TATGATAACATAAATGATATGATACATATGACACTTTGCTTTGATGAGGGAACTGGTAATCAGATTATGACTGGTGGATTTCTAACTGACAAGCAGGCTTCTTATGGGTAAGATGCTTCATTTATTGATGTGTCTAGTCTTATTTCTACCATTTTATCTTGTTTATTATGAAATATCATGAAAACATGAGCAATTTATACTATAGTCACATAGTTGTCATCTGCAGGTGGATGTTCAAGCTCAGTGAATGGGCACATTACTCCACATACGATGTTGGTTTGCGCTCCGGCTCTACAGCTTCACATATTCTGGTGTGTTAAGTTGTTCCATATGGTAGATTAACTTAAAAGTTTTGAGTGATGCAAGATATGGTAGTTGTATTGTGCCCTTCATTAAATCAATGCTGTGATATAAGGTTTTGACCGCTAAACAAAGAGGATGGTCGAAGAAGTTATTGATGGAAAAATTGTAATGTCCATGAGGGCTTTGTACCAATCAAAAGTAGGCCTCACTCTTATAAATACAGGTATGTTGGATTGAATAATATTAGTTTGTCTCATGTTCCCACTATTAATTTAGATGATCATATGCTGAGGTCCACTAGATAGACTCACCGAAAATGATCTGTATTTGCTTCACTCCTAAGGATGGAACCATGGAATCATACTAAATAATGCTGGTTTGTGAATTGATCTGTTGTGATGTACAACAAGCTTCCTGCAATTGATATTTAGTTGGTGAAGCAGGTCATGAACAAGAAACCAACTGTTTGGTCACCAATTACAATCTTGCATTTAAAAGGGAAGACAAAATTCCTGTAGCTCGTCACCCCATTGTGCTTATGTAGCTGTAGTCTGTAGGCAAGAGTAACCTAGATAACTATGGGCTACTTAGAAGCCAGTATACAGATTCATTCAATGTACTCACAATGTTGTCATGCAGGTGTTAAAGACCTCTTGAAGAACCTATCTGAGAAGCAAGGAAAAAAGATGAACTCACCGGAATCTGCAAAAGATATTCCCAAGTTCCTTGAGTTATTTAAGGTGCAGAGTATGACTAAACCTTTTTTTTACTTAATTCTTGATGAAGGTGCCTCTCCGCAGATTTTGCGGGCCGCTTGCCTCGGTTTTTCCCTTCCCCATGATGGATAAGTCTCATGTGTGGTTTTTGTGGGGCTGTACTGCTCACATGGTCCTTGTGGTTGTTTTTCTGCTTTTAGGACAGCATCTTAGACTAGAGGACAGCAGGACAGCATCTTAGAGGACAGCATCTTAGACTAGAGGACAGCATCTTAGCTAGGACAGCATATTAGCATCTTAGACTAGCATCTTGGCATATGCTTGGCTGGCTAGCAGCCTATAAATATGTAACCCCAACCCCTCAGTTTGGCATAGCATTTGAGTAAGAAATAGACAAGAAAAATTGCCCCAACTCCTAGTGTCATCCTCTCGATGAGAGTAAGAATTCTCCTACTACCAAGAGTGAGAATTCAGCGACTAACACCCCAGACCCCACTCATGTGGGAGCCTCCGGCACTGGGTCTGCCCTTAATTCTTGATGAAGAATATGCACAGTTGCACATGATTTGCAAACCTAACGAACCCTAGAGATCATGTGATGTGGAAATATTCTGTGGTCCCATGTTTATGTTGTAATTGCTTAGTGCCACTGCCACCTTCTGCCTGAGTTATGCTCATATGCTGTTTGTCTGTTTTTTTTTGTTTGTTCTTATTTTCTTTCCATATTACAATGAAAATGCACTTACTGTAAGATAATCTGCTGCTGCCCCTCTCTTCTGTTTTGCTGCAGCAGTAGAGTTGGCAATCGGTCAGCTCTGCTGACTACTGCTGAAGTATGGCAACAGGCCAACTACTTCATGTACTAGTTAGTACAAGTAGATGTATGGCAATAGGCCACTAGTTGTAGTGGCTGATCTCAGCCATGTAGGAGTAGTTGCAACACATTCAGAGTTCAGTTCAGTGCTGCCGTGCTGGTGCTTGTGCTGTGTGTGCTCTGTTCTCATCTTCTTCTATCTCTAGCCGTGAGTGAGAGTGTGAGTGCTGGTGAGCTGATTGCTCACATGTGCAGGGGTTTTCTGTGCCAACACTTAAGATACACAAATCATTATATGTCAGAGCTGTGTTAATTCCAGCACTTGGTTGTTTCACTTTTAATTTTCAAGTAACATAAGTAGTATGGAGTCAAAAGTCCTTGTCCTTGGATATATATGGAATAGAACTTTTAATTACAACAAAACTCTAAAAAAAATAGTGTACTTTTACGAAGCTTTCTCAATATTTTCCTATCCTTCAAATTGTGCAAAGATATATATAGAATATGGGCTATGTGAAGAAGGTGTGATCCCAGAAATGTATACTGGTTATTGAGGGCCTGCTTTTGGTGAATGATAGAAAACACAGAAGCAGGAGAACAACAAACCCTTTTCCCCATTCAATTTCTATTTTTTAATTTACATAGAGGCCTTGGAGGTAATGCAAAATCCAGTCTTCATTTGTTTTTTCTTTGGGAGCAAAAATCAGTCTTTATCTGTATCTTTTAAGCTCAATCTTAACTGTGTGGGAATTTGGTCCATGGATGAGTCTTCGTCAATAGCTTGACTATCTCTGTTGATTCTTGCTAAAATGCTAGTCATTTGGTCTTGATATTTACCTGTTGATCCATTTTGTTGCTTATCTATCTGAAATTCTGAATGTAGTTTGATCATTTGCATTTATATAAACCATTGTTGTCAACTTAGATATTCATTGTATATAACTGCAGGGTCAAATTAATATGGATGAGGTCAAGGACCCTATTGAAAGTTTTAAGGTATGTATCTATAGTAGTAATTCAAGCCATCATGTTCACTATCTGTTGGACTTCCTATAACACCAATGTTTTCGGAATGAAGTAATAATAGACATTGATGGGATAGCACATTTGATTTGATTTTGAATAGTCTTTTGTATGGGCTGAATTAGTTTTTTTTTTCTTTGTAGACTTTCAATGAATTTTTCATAAGAGGACTGAAGCCTGGTGCCAGACCAATTGCACATGGTGACCAAGACAGTGTTGCTACTTGTGCTGCTGATAGCCGTTTAATGGCTTTCAGTTCCGTTGATGAGAGCACAAGGCTTTGGATCAAGGTGAAGGCACTATTTGACTAAGAGATGAGACTTATTGAGACATGTCCATGCAAGCACAACGCATGATCCTTCATATGGTAGAATGTTTAGTTGATGTCTCACTGTAGTATGCCTTCTGTTCCTAGGGCCGCAAATTTTCAATTGAGGGTCTCCTAGGGACCAGTGTGCACTCAGATGCTTTAAGCAATGGATCATTGGTCATTTTCCGGCTTGCACCTCAGGTACAACTTTTAATCTCCTTGTTAAGATAAAAAATCCTTACTTTTAAAAGCTCAATGTTTTGTCGAAAATATACTCTGGAATCATGAATATTAACACTTTGTAATGTGCAGGATTACCATAGGTTTCATGTGCCAGTCTCAGGAATTGTGGAGAAATTTGTGGAAATTCCTGGGTTCCTGTACACGGTATAGAATACTAATATCGGAAGTATATCGGCATGTTTGTGTTATGTTATATTTCTTGTCATTTCTCAGCATCTTACTGATGCTGGTCTATTTGCATTTGACAGGTCAATCCCATTGCTGTGAATAGCAAGTATTGCAATGTATTCACTGAGAATAAAAGAGTTGTCTCAATAATATCAACTTCCGAGTTTGGAAAGGTTTGCATTTTTGCTCTTTTACATTCTTATGTTGGAATGTTGGATCAATTTTTTTAATTGAATATTGGATTAATTTACCTCCTAAAGTTGTCAGCAAACTCAACAGAAAAGGGTGTCCAATGTGGCAATGCTCATGTAGTTTAGAATCTTCCCCAGTATTTATTGAATAGTTCGAACTGGTCTGACCTGATGCTACAGTTGAATTTGTCAGTGTATGTTAAATTTGATTGTTTATCAGGGTCTTTCTACATATTTCTTGTTTACCGTTTCTTTGAGATGAACTGATAATAAAGTCAATACAGCCTGAAGCTTAGCTGCCCTTTACTCATCATGCAATGACTTTTCTTGTTTCTGATGGCATGGTTCAGGTAGCATTTGTTGCGATTGGAGCAACCATGGTAGGAAGCATCACGTTCTTGAAAAAAGAGGGTGACTACATCCACAAAGGAGATGAGGTATTTTTCATGCATTTCCTCTTAATATATTGTGATAATTTCTTCTGATGTTTGTGTGAAGGTGTAAAATTATCTGTTCCATCTTTTTTTTCCCTCTCTTCCAGTTTGGGTATTTCTCCTTTGGAGGGAGCACAGTGATATGCGTCTTCGAGAAGGTTCTCTCATGCTTCTCTGCTCACTAGCTATCTGTCCATTTTATACACATAAAAAATTGCTGCCATTCATACATACAAATTCTAAAACGAAACTATTGCTCATGAAACTTTGACTCTGTGTGGCAGGATGCGATCCAACTTGATGCTGATCTAGTGGCAAACAGCGAAAGGTCACTGGAAACCCTTGTTTCTGTTGGTATGACACTGGGCGTCTCGACAAGGAACAAGGGGCTGCAAGTCCCGGTTCTGCAGAATTTTTCGCTTGAATGACGTAGGTAATACTATGATATAGTTAGGACGGCCTCCATGGTACATAGCTGTAAATTGCGTGCAGGTTAACAGTAGGGTGTATTTGCAACTAGCAACTGCCACTTGATTTGAAAACAAGGAGATTTGAAACATACAGTAGCATTTAGTGCCAGATGTTAACTAGAATCATGCTGATCCACGCATCTTGATGTGAACTCACAAGATTATTGCACTTAACAGTTTTCTCAAGTCCTAATCACGAGGCACTGGGCCTGTATATGATACTCCAGATCATAAATGGCACATCTTCAATCTTAAAAAAATGGCACATCTTCCAAATCCAATTAGTTAGGATTTACCAATACGGTACATGGATTTCCTCCTAGGCAGGCTAGAGGAGTCCTGGCCTAGAATGGAAGGGGAAGTAGGGAGTGGTGGAGGCGGCCCTGTCAAGATTGCTCCTCTGCTCTTTCTTCCTCTTTTTCCCCTCATCCTGCTTCACTCCTTGCTCCTTGTGCTGCTGCTGCTGCTTCTTGGTGATATCGTCGTGGGAGTCCTTGACGGAAGACGACGGTGAGGATGGCTTCTTGGGGAGCACCTTTGCGAGCGATGGCATGCAGGAGAGTCCCATATGGGCTCTGGTCTGCTTCTCCAGTTCTCCTGACGATTGGGTGTTTGTGTGCTTGCTTGACAGTCTTGACTGCTCTCGTGTTTGAAATTGGAAATTTGGAATGCCAGGTGATGGATGCTCTGGGCAAACACCCATTTGGCCATTTATATGGGACTGGGAGAGTGGAGGTGCCTCCAAGTTCCAAGCTTCTTCCTGCGGAAGGTTGTCCGACCTTCCTGCGCAAGATTGCCAGTTGCCACTTCAACTCTAGCTTTTTTTATCTTAAGAAAAAAAAAATAACGTAGCACGTGGTCAGCACTGCGTGTTACGTCACAATATCACTGGTGGTGATAGGAAGTATCTGACAGGTGGGTGTGGGCCTGGGCCCAGCTGTCATCGGCTGAGAGCCCATTGCACGGAACCATGAAGGGTATTTTGTATGTATTTGCGTTTTAGTGGCTCTCAAGCTCTGCAGCCTGTTCGGGAGGCCGTATCGTATCGTGGATTATTTACTGCTGGCTGGTTTGGTGTGAGAGAAAAACACTGTTCCCGGCTGGAAATTTACGATCGTTTACGAGCAAGCGAACAGGCTCAGATTGGTGGTTTCTGGCTTTCTGCAATGACGATACTGACTAATAAACGTCTAAACGTGCAATTGCAGGGCTCGTTCAAATATGCCATTCGCCATGGGTATCTGAACAAGCACTAGGAGATAACAAAAGCTTTCGATCGTATACATAACAAATTATGATGTATTATTGTGATGCCCAAGAACTACACAAGCATGGGTCGCCGGTGATTCATTTTCAAATGGAATTCAAACTTATCAATGGCAGCAGCGTGTACGAACCGTTGCTACATTACCGTGGCAGTACCAGTGTAATTTGAACTGTCAAAGTCAAATGTCAATGAAGCGCCATTTGTAAGAATAAGAATTGGCATGCCACGTGTGTCAATTCTGAAATGGTGCAGGCGGCGGCGTGATATAGGAGTATTCTATTAAATTAAACAAAACAAGGCTTGAATCGACATACAGTACAGCCAGAGACCCAAATATAATTACACAACTAACACCAAGACAGTGACATTTTAATTAAGATTAGTACATATGGCACCAGGTTACTTCTGAACATTGTTTTTGAGGCACCGTACCCCCTTCACAATGCCTAGGCGTTTATGGCGGACGCCTAGGCGCCACCATACGATCATCTTAATATATAATGATACTAAAATTCAAAAGCAAATTATACCTTAATATTACCAAGTCTTAGCATGTAATACCATAATAAATAATGCTAACAGAGTGCTAGTGCACAACGTAAAGTAGCAAAATAGCAAATCTGAAATCTCTCATCACTCAATAGCCACAAATTAGTCTCTAATAACATAATATAACTTAATGACTAGTGTTGCAGGGAAAGAAACAGAGGAAGAGGGAAAGAAACAGAGGAAGAGGAGGGAAGCAGAGGAAGAGAAAGAAACAGAGGAAGAAGAGGGAAGCAGGCTGCAGAGGAGACCAGAGAGGAGGCAGCGAGCATACGAGGCGGACGGGTAGACGGTCGACGGAGGCGGGCGAGCAGGTGCGGACAGGCAGGAGCTGCAGGTGCGGTGCGGACGGACCCCTGGTGGACTCGAGCAGCCAGGAGGAGATGCAGGGGCGGACTTGCGGGAGGTGCGCGCGGCCGGTGGACTCGAGCAAGGAGCGGCAAGCCTCCACCTCCGCCTCTGCCGCCAAGAAGCAGGGCCGCCGCCGCCGCTGCCTCCTCTTTTCCTCTCCTCTCTCCGTGAAGCTGCAGCGGCCCGCACCTGTGGTAAAAGCCCTCGAGCGGGAGGTCGATTCCCGCCAGTTTTCATTGCGTCCGCTCGATTCCCCGCCCGATTCCGTCTTCCTCTCGACTTGCTGCTCCGGCGTCCGCCACAGGCCTCTAGGCGCTCGCCCGACGCCTTTCCACGCCTAATCTCATATGGCGGACACCATACGCACGCATGTCGTGGCGACCCCGACGCCCAGCACCCTGGGCATGCCTTGTCGCCTAGGCGACGTCTAGGCGACGCCTCAAAAACAATGCTTCTGAATGCTCGTCAATCCAAACAGACCAATCAGATAAGATATATGGAGGTAGTAAATTCAATGGAGTAGAAATGGACGTGATGCTTTCTAAACTTGAAGTGATGTCACTCCATTCACAAGAATATTTTGCAGTCATGCCTTTTCAGATCATCAGGACGATACCAAGTCGGCAAGGGCACAGGCCATCTGTAGTTCAACAATATGGCCACACTGTAATGCCATCCACAAATTCATAGTACAGGACATTGAACTTATAGTAATTATTGGATGCATCAGAATACCTATTAAGCATGACACTGCGATCACCAGCAATAGTCCAGTCAAGCTTATTAGACGCATAATCATCAAGGCCAGCTTCATCAACGGTCCTAATAAACACACCAAAGAATATAGTTAATTGATTTATGATGCTTTACAGAACCTTCTATAATAGATCGCTTGCACAACTCTTGTAAGTCCTCGAGACCTAAACACACTGCATGACAAGCACTAAAATATACCCAAAAAGAAATAGGCATACCTTTTCTTCTTAAAATGTCCCAGGACATCGAGGATCACGTCCCACGGATCCACCTGCGTACTTGTCGTAGAAGTTCATGCCAACAATATTTCCATCAAAATCAAGAAGGGGTCCTCCAATGCCAGCCTAACAAGTAACAGGAGAAGTTTTTCATTGGTGATGTCAAACAGATATGGTAATTAACTAATTAACACACAGTCCAATGCAACCAGGATCATCAGCTGTGTAATAATAGGAGAGAAGATTTGCAGACTTACTTTAGTGATTGTACAAGTAGAAAACATAAAAAATTTGCAATCATATGTGTACATCATGCAAGCCTTTTCCCCTCTTGACGCCATTAATTCGCCGGATTTGAAGATACACCCCACAGCTACTACTTCACAATCCTTAAGCAACTGATGTTGAATTTTTAGTGGATGGCTATAGCTAGGACGGTAATCGTTGACCCTGACTAGAGCAATATTGTAATGTAAATTATAATGTTGTAATATCCCAGCTGCTCGTTTTTTTCTTGGAAGCAACACCTCAATCTACAAAAGAATTAAGACTTCACTGATTCATAAAAGAATAGGGATAAAATGATAGCTAGAAGCACCAACCCTCAAGTTTTTCACAATATCATATTCACAATCAGAATCTCTAATCAAGCTCGCTGCAGTCAGAATAGTGGTACATCCATTCCATTCAATAAAACAGCCTGAGCATGCAAAAATCCTTTTTCCTCCTGGATACATAATTGATCACTAGTTAGTTGTGATCAGATACAGATATGAGGTAGTAAAAAGCACAGTACTGTAAACCCACCATTGAATGAAGCAAGTGCAACGATATTCTCATGCATGTTGGAGGCAATTGTTTGGCTTAGTTTGCTCCAGACACCTTTACCATATATATCGCCGAAAGGCTCTTCAAAATTATTAGCCAAAATAATGTCATCTGGATCAAAACACATTGTACAATACTTGTAATTGGGACAACAATTAAAAAACCACAACTCATGTGGAGCCAATATTTACATGAATTGGCTCACCAGTTAACATTGATTTTGGACGCTCGGGATAACCCAAAGATTCTAAATCGCCAAATTGATCCTTGTTAAGCCCATCTCTGGGTACTGGTGCAACCATAGTCACATAAAACGGGTTCACCACCTTCGACCCTCGACCCGGGTTCGTCGACCCCGACCCGGGTTCATGGGTTCATTTTCGACCCGAAGTGTAAAAATCTCTCACGAGTAGCGTACCACGTACCGCGACCCCGTACCTCGACCCCATCGACCCAGAAACTTTGTGACTATGGGTGCAACAACACCAATAGGTCAATTCACTCACACTAATATATGCTAATGTTGAGTACAATAATAAGTAACATTCACATGAAGTTATGTGCAGAATATCAGCACACACGATCAACATATGACAACCTGAGTTGAGCACACTAAGTGATTCCACTCGAACATATTTAAGAACAGAGTATTTTTTTTTACTGATTAACACTAAATCTATGAAGTGCAACTGCAAAAAGCTAAGTCCATCCATAGTTATCATGAGTGTACAAATGTTAAAGATAATTTTGTACAATCTGAGACAATTTTACAAATAGATACCATTATAAATGAACATAATTACACATAACAAAATTATTTTGACGTTTAAAGTGTCGCTGCTCACCTTCATGATGAGAGTTAGGAATCACAGCATTGGAACTTTCTCCAACCCTGTAGAAGAACATCAATATGAGTAGCCACAAGTAAAATTGATCAAACCAGCACATTATTATGCAACACCTACATAACTTGAATTGTAGGAAAAGACTAACAAGAACCTGGAGTATTATGGATACAAATATCAAGAAGACAAGAAAACTGACCAACAGCTAGATAAAACCATTAAGTCAAGTGACATCATAAGAGAACTAACCGACAGCTAGATAAAACCGTTAAGTCAGGTGACACCATAGTCCACTTAGTGTGACCATTATATGTGGATAGGAAATTTCTTTAATTAAATTAGACACTTAGACAGGTACACTGCTTCAACATTGGGCATGTGCCAATAGGACAAAAAATGTACCTTTACAACATGTCCAACGGAGACCTCCAGAGGCACCGGTGCGTAGTAGAATCCTAAGCCAGGATAGTAACGTGAAGAGAGGCAGAGGAAGACCGAAGTTGACTTGGGTAGAGGCAATAAAAGGAGACTTGAAAGGATGGAATATACCCAAAGACTTAGCCTTAGATAGGAGTGCTTGGAAAACAACTATTCACGTGCCTGAACCTTGATTGCTTCTGTTGGGTTTCAACTCTAGCCTACCCCAACTTGTTTGGGACTTAAAGGCTTTGTTATTGTTGTTGTTGTTGTTGTTGTTACAGGTGGAAAAGTCTTTATTAAGGGCTATACTGGAAATTGTAGATGAGCAACAAATACCAGAAAAGCTACAAAAGGAACACACATCCATCCTGCTTATTATTGCAAAACAACATGTCCTGTAAATTGTTTAGCACAAAACTGACAACATCATTATATCAAGTAGGGAGCAGAAAATTGATAGGAGATAATAGTTTCCCCAGTGGAAATATAAAGACATACCTGATTTTAAAAGAATTCAAGTATGCAGGAGATTTATCCTCTAGCCATATAATGTTAATCCACTGTTCACTAAGTGTTACCTCTGGCAAGCAAAAGGTTCCTTCTGTACAGGCCGAAAGATTCATGCCAAGAAAGTTCCCATGAACATCAAAAAGTGGCCCACCTTCATATTCCTAACATCAAACAGAAGAAACTAATTACAGGATACATTGTAAATGGAATAAACAAAGTGAAACCAAACAACAAATATGTAGGTAAAACATCATTTTCCCGCCCGAGAGATGTACTTTACTGAATATAACCGCAGAAACAGATTCAAATACTCATGACAATGCAAATGTACCTTAGAGATTTTACAAGTGGACGTAATATGTGATGGGAAAGCTCTGCCTGTTTCAAACTTCAGTACCCCACGTGTAGATAATAATTTGCCAAAGTTGTCACGGCCCAGAGCTACAACATTGGTAAGGGGTGGAAATGTCATCCAACTTCGAAAAACTACAGCATCAAGATCAGGAAAGTCCTTGACGTTGACCTAAAGAACAATAGTTTCAGCGGTGAAATCACCATTCACCAACGTCAGTTTCTCCAACTTCCCCAGTCTGGACCTTAGATCTTATACTGAATACCTGCAGTTTGATGAGTGAGTATAACATCAAGTCAATAGTTCTCAGCGCTGATCCAACAATCCTTGCTTATTTGAGAAGTTAGCTAATTGTAATTGGATCCAAAAAAACAAAAGATTCGTGTTAGCTGTGCATGTCCTCTGAAGCATAAACTACTGCCTGTACTTCAAGATTGTCAAACATTCATTACTGCACAGGTCTTTCCTTTCATCCTGTACCAATTTGGCATTTTGTAATGTGCATAATGAATATACCTTTCACTACTAGACCTAGAACAATTCTAATTCTACGGGTCATCACCAGTAATCGCCACAAGAACATGAACCGCCTCTGAAGTGATGGAAGCGAATCCCATCTCTCAAGATTATTTCTCTGTTCTCACTCCCGGATATCAGCTTCATGGTCGAGTGGCAGTCGCGGCAAACTCTCAAGTTCTTCATTACTCGAATCGGAGCTGATTGTGGCAAATGGATCATTCCAAATGCCACAGCTAGTTTTTCACTGTGGCAACCCACCAAATTCTGCTCCCTGCTAGAGACGCCATATGACTCTGTGCTAGCACTATCAGTGCCCGCCAACTTTTCTATCTTGGAAAGCATCTCTGCCAGTTTTTTGTATATTGCATTGCTCTCTGGATGGGACTTGTCACCGGCAACAAAAGAGTGAACCCCAGACCTTAGTTCAATCCAACTAAGACCAGGCTCTTTCTTCACGCCTCGCTCTTTCATCAGGTCTCGAGTTTTTGAAGCTAAGGACACCTCGCCAGCATCTAAATACATGTTGTAAAGAATTACATAGGATGCTGAGGAAGCGGGTTCCAGATCCATTATCCGATCCGCCACAAGTTGGCCTCTCTCCATGTCTCCATGAATACGACATGAGGCCAGCAAAGACCGCCAAACCACAGCATCATTATGGAAGGCAGAATCCCTTATAAAAGCCTCAGCATCAGCTAGCCTCCCAGCTCGTCCAAGAAGATCAACAACACAAGTACAATGCTTTATGGTTGGGCTCAATCCATATTCATTATTCATAATTTCATAATACCTGCATACGATCATCAAAGGAGGACGTATGAGGCATGTATAGTATAGCAAAGAAAGTTGCACTGGAATTTGATTGAATGCTCTAACCTGAAAGAAATGGCAAAGTCTTACCTGAGTCCCTCATCAACCAATCCTCCATGACTACATGCAGTAAGGACGCTGAGAAAAGTAATCTCATTAGGTGCCGCCTTTGCATCCATCATTTCATTGAAAATGCGTAAAGCATCCCTCGCACAACCATGATGCGCATGGCTTGATATCACTGCAGACCAAGAGACAACATCACGTGATTCCATTTCCTGAAACCTCCGAGTCACAGCATCAACATCCCCTGACCTAGCACACATATGAATGAAGGAATTCCCCATGGCAGTGAACCGGTTAAAACCAGATTTTATGGCAAGACACTGGATCTGCTCACCGGTCCTTGCAACAGCTAAACTGGCACATGCATTCATCACGCTCGACATCGTGAAAAGATCAGGTTTCAGTCCATAACGTATTAATTCATGGAACAATCTCAGTGCCTTCTCAAAAAGCTCATTCTGAACACACCCTGAAATCATTGACGTCCAGGTGACAATGTCTTGCTTAGGCAGAGATCTGAAACACCTGTATCCATCTTCCATGCAACCGGAGTCAGAGTACAAGTCAATCAGTGCACTCCCAATATAGTCATCGTCTTGGAAACTGTGTTTGAGTACTTGACCATGTATCTGTTTCCCAAATCCAAGTTCACCAGCCAAGTTACACGCACGCAGAATACTTGAGAATGTGAATTCAGAAGGCTGCATCCCTCGGCTCTGCATCTCTGAATACAGACTCAAAGCTTCTCGAATGACTTCCTTACCAACGGCAGCTTCATCACGAGAGAATCCTGCAATCATCGCATTGAAAACAATCACATTTGGGTCCGGCACCAACTTGAAAAGCGCGACAGCATTGATCAAGGCGCCTCTCTTAGCGTACATGTCGATCATTGCGCTCACAAGAAACAGGTCGGCATCCAGTCCAGCCTTCACCACGCATCCATGAACTGCCTCTGCAATGTGCCCTCCAACATCACCACCGGAAGCACAACACTTGATGATGCTCCCAAGCGCGAACGAGTTCCACCCGATGCCATGGTGGCACATCAGAGAGAACACCTTCAGCGTCTCCTCACGTGCGCTGGCGCGGACGTACCCAGAGAGCAGCGAGTTCCACGAGACGTCGTCGTGCTCCTCGGCGGCATCAAACACGCGCCTGGCCTCGCCCATCTTGCCGCACGCGGCGTACATGCTGGCGAGCGAGTTGGACAGGAACACCCCGTTCCCGAGACCGTCCAGGACGGCCACCGCGTGCACGGCCTTCCCGGTCCTCACGTCGAGCGCGCGCGAGCACGTGGCGAGCGCGGCGGCGTACGTGAACCGGTCGACCCTGAACCCCGCGGCGGCCCGCGCCCGCGCGAACGTCGCCAGGGCGCGGCCCGGGAGGCCCGCGCGGGTGTAGGCGGCGATGAGGAGGTTGTAGGAGACGGCGTTGCGGCGGGGCATTTCGTCGAGCAGGCGGGCGGCGTGGTGGGGCGCCCCGAGGCGGCAGTAGGCGTGGAGGAGGAAGTTGCGGAGGAAGAGGGAGGCGGTCGGGTGGGCGCGCGCGATGTGGGCGTGCACGGCCGCGACGTGCGGCAGCGCCGCGCAGGAGCGGAGAAGGTCGAGGTAGAAGGCCTCCATGGACGCCAGCGGCGGAGCAAACCGATAGTAATCTAACTGCTCGCCTTTGCACGTTGCTGGTCATCTGGCCGCAGGGCCGATGGTCATCTAGGTGTCCTGGCCGCCGCCGCCCCTTGGCCCCTCCCAGCCTCCCGCGCAGGCGCGGACCTCGGTGTCGCACAGACAACCAGATGTCCAGAGTGCGGAGCCACCGACAGGCCGTCAGAGCGACCGAGCGCCTCGGCCCGCCGGCCGCCGGGGATTGCTCAAGAACGGAGGGAATTGAACGGCAGGGGAGATGCTTGAACTGGCATTTGAGTGAGATGGGTACCCGTTGGATCAAAAACTTGCGGTTATGATCGAGTCAGTTGGGAGACTTTCCTTACACGCGTATGCACTCCGTAGTCCGTACAACACTCAAGTGAGCGGCTTCATTGGCCACCTTTTATTTATTTTTATTTAAAATTAAAACTACAAAGTGCGTCGACTCCTGGCCAGAAAACCATCCACGTCTCACCAAATTACTCCAGCCGTTTGATCCCTTCAATTAGCGGCACTGATTACCCAGGCCAAGATTTCTTAGGAGCGGAATCAGCCTCTGTCGACTGGATTCTGGAGATTCCTTCAGTCCGGATAAGGCCCTAGCCGCTCCACGACGACAGCCGCCAGCCGACCGATATATATACCTCTGAATCTTCATTTTAGAATCTTCCCGGTCCCCTCTATTCCTCGTCAGCTCCGCTTGCCGCGCGTCTTCTTCGCCCGCGTCTTCCCGCGACGGTCGCCGGGATTGCGCCGCCGCCTCCGCTGTTCTCCTCGCTTCCCCTTTTTTCGCGCGGTCAGGGTGTTGGGTCTTTGCCTGCGCCCCTTGCCGGAGCCGTCCATCCGCAGGGGACAGCCGAAACAGCTCCAGCCCTAACCGGCTAACCCTAACTGTATCTCCGCCGCCGTCTCCTCCTCCTGCTGCACCGGCCTCAAGGCTTGTCAGGTTATGCGTCGCATTTTCCCTCGTCCGTTTCGCTGCTCCTTGCCTGCTCTCTTCTAGATCTGGATGCCACTTTCTTCCGATTCTTGCTTTCTTCACACATCCGAATCCTCGCTTTGTTGACTGATCCGAAAAAACTCCCTTTCGCTGTCGTCGTGGTGTAGTGTAGTTTTCCAGCCAGATTACTCGTCTGGGGAGGGGGGGGCGGGGTCCCCCCCCCTCCCCTGTCGTGGGCGCGGCGGCTTCGCCGGGTTAGGCCGCCGTCTTCTCTCCGTTGATTAGGGCTTCGTCGATTTCCAGGTTAGATCTTCCCATGCTTATTTTAGTGCCGTTGGTTCATTTCAGGTTTTAATTTTGTGTGCTTCAGCTCTGAATGATGCCCTCGTCTATTCTTTGCTTCGTTCGCAGTTTCGCTTGGGTAGTTTACGCCGGCCCTTTTAGTAGTTCCGCTTAGGTCCACGCTGTCCGTCCCTTCATTCCGGCTTCGTCGGTTTGCAGGTTAACTCCTCCTCTGCCTATTTGCCTTAGTTCTTTTGGTTCTTAAGAGTTGTTTGCAGTAGATTACTATTTTTGTTTTTTGCTTTCAGTACAACCATATACAGCTATAGACCAATTGCCCTCTTTTATCTTGCTACATAATATATATGTTTCGATAGGGTAATAAAATGGGGAGGGGATGCGGCCGTTTGCGTAGAGGTAGGGCTATGTGGATGATGCCCTGCACCTGCATGCTGCAACAATAATTTCATCAGTCTGTCGTTGGACTACCTTCTCTCCTTTTGCTGCAGCCATTTCTAGGTAGCCAATTGACTAAGATTGGTATGGAAATGAAGTCTGCTCATGTTAACCACGTAGTAGCATGTTGTCTTAGCTGTAATGAAATATGGAATTAGCTTCTGTAGTGTTTCTGCAGTATATCAATTAGCACAAACGCGTTGTATTTGGTATATTGATAATATTGCTGCCTCTTGTTTCATCTTCATATGTGTTCAGAATTTCTTTGCTGATAACTGTGGTGTTCCCATCATTGTCGCTTATTGTATTATAGAAGAACATGAATTTGTTGTCGGTCTGAACTTCTTCTGTGTTCATATGTGGATCATGTGCTGCATAGATAAGTTCTCATTCTCTGGATCTGAACCTCTATTGTTTTCCTTTACCGATTAAGATTTGATACTTCGTCGGCACTAAATCTCTGTTCAATATGTTTCTGAAACGGTCAACACTCTGTAGGACACGGTGGATTCGGGAAGGAACGATCTTTTGTTGGATTTCTGTTCTTGATTGAGAAAAGGTATAATCGCATCATCGCCCCCATTTATGTTTATTTTCACAGCGGCTGGATTATTTGGAGCGATTTTAGTTTCTCGTTTCTATACATGCTTACATTTATTTGCAAAGTCCAATTTTTTGACTGAAGATGAGGATCTGAAGGGTGGTGATGATCTGAAAGGTCAATCTTTGGGCTGTAGGGAAAGCTGGTGCTCTCGTGGTAATTCCTATAGGGTATCCTGCTGCTATACGTGTAATGCCATTGTTGCTTTTTTGGGCAATCAGTTATCTACTTCAGGTGATTTTTGTTGCACATTGCAGAGCCTAACAGGCTTTACAAGTCCAGCTGAGTCAGTAAAAGTTTGGCGTTATGCTAAGTGCTGGTGTAGCAGCTGGAGCAATACAAATATGGAATATTGACGAAGCGAAAGGTATTAACCAGCCTTAACAGTCAACAGTGCAGTGAAAACATGAAACTACAGCTGTGTCGTGCAATAATCTCGGTTTCTATTGACGATTTGCGCAATGTGCAGTTGTTCGAACTTTCACTGGGCACATATCAATTTGTGCATATCTTGATTTCCATCCTTTTGGAAAATTCTTTGTCTATGGGTCTTTAGCCACAAACATGAAAATAAGGGATACTCGAAATAAGATATGCATACACACATGTTTCCTGATCACTCAAATTTTGTTTAAAATATCTACCTATGCTAGGTCTGGGATTTCGCGGCTGGAAAACTCATGCATGGCTTTCGTCTTCATGAAGGTCCAGTCAACTGCTTAGATGTGCACGCCCACGAGTTTTTTATTGGCTACACGTTACAATACAGGTCCTATATACCCACACAGTAGTAAATTTTCCATGGGATGTCAATTTTTCCGTAAGATAAGATTTCTATTATTTTCATGGCGGACTTATTACTCCCTCATGCTTCTTATTTGTATATCAGCTGGACATGTAAATAACATGTTCAATTATGTCCTTTTCAAAACCTTTGCAGGTTCGGTTGATAAGACTGTTAATTTCGGGAACTTGACACTTTTCAGTTCATTGGTTCTTCTAGACCTGAGGTACGATAACTGTTTACAACGACTCACGAGAACAATTGTTCAGGTCCTCAGTTGAATCTATTCTATGTTCATAAAAACTGAATCAATATAGCTCTTGCACCCAAAGTTATATAGTGATCCGGAAAAAGCTATTCTTCGAAAAGGCTATAATTTTAAGCAGTTGTATTTAGGTAATAGGTAATTTCATCATACCCTGCCGCTGTTTATCACGCTTGCAGCTTTATGCTCAGTCTTGGTTAATGACATGCTCTTTTTTAGACATGTTTCCTTCTGCACTGTAAATCTTAGTTTGTGTAGATGGTTTCCATTTTGAAAGAGGTTGATAGTATAAATTTTGAAACTACATTGCAATCTTTCCTTGCTGTAGGTTCCCTTTTTCAGAAAGAGGTTGATAGTGGATGGTTTTCCATAAAGGTGTGTGGTGGATTCGTGTACCTGATCATATTGCCAGTGGGGATATTGTCAGTCTAAGGCCCCTTAAGATTCAATCGGAATGGTCAGTCTAACATAATGAGATTGTGCTGCAAATTTTCTCCACGCCTTACACCAATGCTAACATAAGCATAGTCCTTTTGACTATGTGCAGAAACTGTGGAAAGAAGCCACACAATTTAGGTTCCAATCAGCCATTGTACAAGTAAGTGTCAGTTTTTCCCTCATTTTTTTAGTGCATCCCAAGCAGTTAGGATTACTATTTTGTATAACCTAGCTAATTTAGTGTACGGCATGACCAAATACCAAATATGGAACAGCTTTTAATATGTATATGTGCCACTGTTTTGTATGAGCTTATCACGTATTTGTATGACCTTTGCATATTTTAAATTTTGAATAATGCCATCCCCGCTGCCTGAAAATATAGGTTACTTCTATGCTTTTCACGTTTTCAAAACATAGAAGTGTTGATCCCACGGTTTACTAATGCGATTGAATCTGCTCTCTGTTTTACTGCAATATATGCTTACTGCTTCACAGATTTTTGGACTCCTATTATCTTTTTAGATTTTCACTTATTCATATAGTGGAGGATTAAATTGATCTAACAAATGGGGAAACAAGCGGGCGACCATAACCCTATATGACACAACAGCTACTGATATATGATGAAATGGATTTTGATTTGTGAATATTAATTTCTCTTAGATATCACTCCTTTCCATTTACATATACCTGTTGGTCATGTTTTTTTTTAAACCCATCATTACTCCTTTTCATTCACATACCTATTGGCCATATAGTTTTTCTAGACTCATCATTGAATCAAATTAATCTTTCTTGTTTTCAACGGTCTACCTAATGCCTTTTGATTTATTAAGTTCACGCTCATAACCTGATGGCTTTTGATTTATTAAGTTTATGTTGATGTCATAATTCTGAATGATAAAATGTTAATTAGGCTGTGCGCATGCAAATGAAACTGTGTGCCCTTCTGATAATAATTAAGAAGTCAGAAACGACAATTCCGGTGGTCTAATTAGTTTTAGCTAATACTCATATTTGTATCTCAGAGTACAGGTCCTTTGTGCTCATTGGACAGCAAGCATTGCATAATACAACATGTTCTGAGCCTAGCAAGGTTTGCATGTTATGCCACAGGATGTGCTGGCACCCATCGTTATGGAGTACCTAGATTTATTATGGGTCCTCTATATTTTTTCCCCTGCAGCCATTTTGTTATAGCCTGCTCTGT